GCTTATATTAGGGTCTTAATATATAAATATCCCGTGTCACTGTGTTCGTTTACGCTAATCTCCGAAACCGCTTAACCGATTTCAATGAAATTTTGTGGGTTTGTATTGTTGGTTCCAACTTAAAAGATAGGATAGTTGTGAACCCGAGAAATTTTTTCTATGCTTCTCGCATCGTGCTTATCTAATATACATATAAAAATCGAGCTCTTCGTAAACGGCTCGACCGATCTTTATGAAATTTTTTGTGTTATATATGGTAGGTATGAAAATCGGATGTAAAGTATATTTCATACCGCTAGGTTTCAGGGGGCGTGGCACTTCCCATACAAACCGAATTTTTCATATTGCACATCTCTGGAAGTGTTCATGGTAGACTACTCGAATATGGCATGGAGATATATGAAAACATTTGCATATTCATGGATAAAAATTGCGGTTATTGGAAAAAGTTAAGTGGCGCCTCCCATACGAACCGAATTTTTCATACTGCATATCCCGCAAAATGTTCATGGAAGAGGTCTCGAACTTGGTAATGATAAGATAAATGAAAGCAATCGCATACTCATGGAGATAAATTGTGATTATCGGAAAAGGAGGCGTGGCACTTCCCATACACATCGAATTTTTCATACTGCATATCTCTGAATGTTTTCATGGAAGAGTACTGGAACTTGGTATGTACAAGATATATAAAACGCGACTGGTCATGAAGAAAAGTTGGGGCTATTGGAAAAAGGGACCTGCCATGGTAAATTACTAGAAAATGGTATAGAGATATATGAAATCAATCCCATGCTCTTAGAGAAAATTGGAGTTATTTGAAAAGGGGACGTGGCGCCTTTCAAACGCACTGAAACTATTACGTATCTTTGTATGCATGTACAGTTTTGCTAAGTTATTTAAGACGGCAAATATGCCTTCTGACAACCACCAAACCGTAATATTAAAAGATAAATGCGTCACTAAAAATCATGAACGTGAACTCTTGGTGAAAATGTTGGACCAAAGTGTTTCAATACACGGTTAACAATTTCGGTTTTAATTTTAAACTTTTTGGACTACATATATGACCAAACTACATAAATTCAGTTTCAAATACAAACCTTATAAATTAAAAAAAAGAGGGCACATATGTATGTTGGGTTTAGAATTTAAACAGTTCGGTTTAAATTTTAAACGCAAACATTTTCATAATTAAGAATAAAAAATAAAAATAAAATTTCGTGCTCCGTCTGATGGGGATTGAACCAGGACAGCCTTAGTAGCAACCAATTGTATCAAGCAGCTTTGCACACTCAGCTACAGCCACGCATGTAAATGTGCTTTCATATGTTGAGTTTGAATCAACACCGCATTTCGCTGTGTGCAAACATTTTCTATTTCGGTTTAGATTTTAAACCAAATTTTCTATATATGAAACCTAGAAACTAGAATTAAAACATTTTGGTTTGATTTTTAAACCACGAACTTTTTGGACTAAAATTTGAACCACAGTATATTAAAAATTGCTTAAAACTATTGACAGGTTTAAAAAGTAGACTATAAAAGATTAAAAAAGGCAGAAGTCCCAGCGCGGCTTAAAAATTAATCCCAAATTTTTGACCGTGTACAAAAAATTTATTTTGGGCGGGACGAAGTTCGCCGGGTCTGCTAGTCTACATATATAAAAATTAAATGTCTTTCGTATGACGGCGATACCTGAACAAACCGGTGAACCGATTTCAATTTTGTAAAAATGCCTTTGTTATACCTTTTGTGTAAAGGGTTTTCCGATCAAAAAAAATTCAAAACGAAAAAAAAGAAAGCTGCGACGTCACAAAGTGGAGGGACCTACAGATTTACGCCGACTCCGAACGGCGATTGTATTTTTATGATAAGCTGTTTTTCATGGCAGAAGTACACTCTGAGGTTTGCCATTGCCTGCCGAGGGACGACCGCTGTTAAGAAAAAACCTTTTTTCTATATTTTTTGCGATTTTGCTTCGACCAGGGCTTGAACCCAGGCGTTGCGGAGTGAAAGCGCGCACTGCTTACCATTACATCTTTATATCATTAAACGTGCGATATATGTATGTACATATTTATGTAAATTATTGTACATAAATGGTCTTTAACGATTTATAAAATACAAAATATTAGCTACATTTTGCTACTCACTGTAAACGATCCTCGGCTGGGCCACCCTTTAAAACGTCGCTTACAGCAATTGAGGGGTCTCCATTTGCGAAATGTGGGTTATCGCGCCCGCCTGAAACGGCTATACCAAATCCATATCCCGGAACACGTGTTACAGAAACCGTGTGATACTCCCACGTCGATCGATCACCCTGTTGAAGAATGGAAGTATGTAAATCAAACTGCAAGTAAGTATTAAAAAACGATGCACATAAAGCCATTCATCAAACAAAATCCCAGTTAATAATATCATAGAACACATTGTAACTAATTTAAAACAAATTTCAAATAACGGAAATATTTATTTTAAAAAGAGCATAAGAACCTTGCAATGGGCTATACTCAATCCCGACTCTTGCGTCCTCGTTCGCGAACTCTGGGCAACGTGAGCAACCCATGTGCGAGATGCAGTAACCAAACCGAGTGGAGCATTGGGTCACGGCAGAAAGAGAGGGAGCTTTGGTGGGGCCACTCCCACTTATTCAGTTTAAGGGCTCACTGAAGTCTGCAGCGTCTGTTCACCAGTAGGTGCGGCTGCAAGCGGGTGTCCGCTTGGAGCAAGCGGCTCGCTATGTAAACGAGTATTTGGTTGTAACCCAGCAATGGGTTGTGCGCTGGGTTTGGGACCCGCCACGTAAAAACCACTTCCAGTGAAGAAGCAAGGCAAACCCGCGGATGAGACCCACCCACCGCCCCTCCTTATGATGACGACCACGGAAATCGTTTAAAGGACTGCGATTTGAGGGCATGCACCTGGAATGTCCAGACCCTTAATGGGGAAGGTGCCTCTGCCCGGCTGGTTGATGTCCTCGTAAGGACAAAAGCTGACATCACCGCCATCCAAGAAATGCATTGGGCGGGGCAAGGCAAGCCTTGCGACGTCTACTACAGCTGCCATCTAAAGGAGCGCAAATTTGGAGTTGGATTTGTGGTGGGAGAGAGACTCCGTCGTCGAGTACTGTCGTTCACACCGGTGGACGAGCCTCTAGCCATAATCCGAATCAAAGAGAGATTCTTCAATATCTCAAGGTTCAAGCATAAAAAGATCCATCAAGCTACGTGGCTGTCTCCGGATCGAAAGACTAGAAACCAAATCGATCATGTTGTGATAGAAGGAAGGCACGCTTCCAGTGTTTTAGACGTACGCCCACTCCGAGGCCCAAACATCGACTCGGACCTGAAGAGGGAAGCGAGACGTATTTGCCGCAATAAGAAGTGAGAGGCCGAAATACGTGAGTCCGAAGAGCTTGAAATGCTGGCCAACAAAAAAAATGACTGAAAATTTTACCAGAGAGTTAGGCCACTTACGGAAGGTTTCAAGACCGGGCGTACTCCTGTAAGAACAATAATGGCGACCTAGTAACTGATGTCCAGAGCGTACTTAAATTATGGAGGGAACACTTTTCCGCCCTACTAAATGGTAGCAGCACGGAAAGTTGTGGAGAAGAAGAACCNCATGTGACTTCTTTAATCTGATGTTGGAGAAAGTAATACGAGCTGCAGAACTGAACCGCTCAGGAACAATATACTAAAAGAGCGTGCAATTGCTGGCTTATGCCGATGACATCGACATCA